AACAAGTGGAGATGTGAATTGTTAATGTAATGATAAAATACTTAGTAGAATGGATGTGTGAGCCATTCGTAAGCAACGGTCGCCACTCGAGGAATGACTAAGACCGGTCTTCATACCCGACTTGGTCGGGGTTTTGTCTTCATGCCCGACTTGGTCGGGGCTTTGTGCCTGAGGAGACAGGGCTTTGTGCCTGAGGAGTCAGGGCTTTAAATCCTAATGATGGGTCTCAAGCCACACTCTACTAGGTATTTGATCATAAGTGCGTGATAGTGTGATGCTCGCCCGACAAAAAATTAATTTAAATAAAAATAAATAATATGAAAATTAAAGAGTGCTTATCTTTTTGAAGTGGGCTGAAATATTTGATGGGTTGAAATACAGCCCTTTGAAAGCACTTGCCCAAAAATGGTCCGGCCCATTATTATTGGTGAGAATCAGTGTTGGGCTTGATGTAGTCTTGGTTCGTATAGAACTTTGCATTGAAATTGACCAATTTTGACCCAGCAATGAGTTCTGTCCGTCCAGAAGATAAACGAGACTGGATTAGCTGGATATGCCCCATGAGGAGATAGGACAACTAATTGCAGAGGTCTTGTTGGCATGTCTTAGTCTGGCCCTTCATTTCCCGCAGCTGGCATAGGCCTTCAGCCTTGTCCTTGATGCCGCCGGAAAGGGATGGAACGTGACTCTTGGCCGCCCAATGCATACTGCCGCCGCCAGCAAGGGCTCGAAACGAGATTGTCGCTGCCAGCCGGAGAAGGAGGCCTAAGGAGCTCCCCAGTCGTTGTCGTTGCCAGCATGGGTCGTAGGAGAGCCCTGGTTATGATTACTAGCTCCCCTCGCGGCGGAGCTCGAATTTGAGGCGTCATTGGCCGGTGGGCTTCATTTAATGGAGGGAGTTCCAGTTTTTAGCAGTAATGGCCCACACCCTCTTCTAGTTGGCCCCTAGCTCGAGAAACAGAGCCTCCCAGTGCCATTAATGGCGGACACGGTTCATGAGGTTAGGGTGAGCTGTGGCTGGTGAGCGTGGTGCGATGGAGATAGATGAACGAGCTAAGGGCGACGGGAGGCGGCGTGCGTTGCGGGGGAAGGGGTTAGATGTTTGTCTCCGTTGACTGGTCGGTTCAGATCCAGCCGGTTATGCATCAGATCTGTGTCGCCGTTGACCAGTCGGTTCGTCGGAGAGTGAAATAGGGTTCATTGGAACTGCCGCGGTGGAGCCTTCAGATCCAGGTCGCGTTCACCGGCAGATCCCAGTGGCGCGGGTTGCAGCTCATACCCATCCATCCGTCATTCCCATAAACTTTGAGGCCATTGATGGCGGGTTCCTCGCTTGGCAGATCCCTCAGCTCGTGCTCATGAGCAGGTGGAGCAGCGGGCGACCAGCAACAAGATGGAGGAGCAAGCAACTACCAGGAGCTTTGAGCGGTCAGGTTCGTGGCAGAGATAGGTGGGCGAGCTTCGAACTGCGACCTGTGATGCTGGGACAGGTGCTAGCAGCGGATCTGCGTCGTAGTTGGTATTCAAGACCGTTTTCCGGTGGCTGTTGGGTCGGTCCGCAGCTGTGCTGTGATTCATTACAGATTCTTCCAGATCTGATTTTCCTTTTTTGGTGTTTTTTTTTTAATTTGGGGAGGTTTTCTCACTTGATTGTGTTCAAACCTCTCAACGAGAGCACCATATGATGGACAATTGATACCCATGTTGTATAAACAGGAGAAATTGAACAAGAGTGAAAAAGAGTAATGGAGAAAGAAGAAAATGTGTATTGTGTATGAACTCTTGAGTTCTTGAGTTATGGTTTACAAGCCTCCTATAAGGAGTATATATAGGGAAAATCCGGGCCTGGGCCTCTAATACGGGCCTGACAGACCCGGTTACATAAATGGACTGATAGTACAAAAAGCTAATCTAGAACATTTGAATAATGATGTACAATAATATGAATCCGCTAAACGTGTGTGGGCCGCTGTCCAGGCCTAGTAGTCGGCATACCGGGGGGTCGGAGTCCATATAATCCATCAGTATCATTTTGATGATGTGGAGGATTTTTTTTGGGATCATGGATGAGGAGTTGAAATTATTTTATTAGATTATTTGATAAAATAATCTGGTATCAAATTCTAAAGCTAGATTATTTTGAGATTATTTCCAACTTTAAGGTGATGACTAGCTTTGTAGTTCGTGCATGTCTCATAAAAAGTCTAGGTAAATTAAGTTCATGGATGAGGAGAAATTGATAGGTTTGGAGATTATTCAAGATAATCTTATGTGGAAGTGACATGACAATAAGAAGGCATAAAAAACCGTAAACTTGAGTATCATGAATGGAGATGCTCTTAGGTTTAATTTCTTGTATACATGTTTTCCGTGTCCATAAACTTCCTATATTCAAAATTCAATTTACTTCTTCTCTAAAATGAATTTCACAATCGTTCAAAAAAAATGAATTTCACAACCAAATATTCTGATCTTTTTATCTCTATCGCTTTTTAATTTATTCTTTTTAATTAAACATGCAAGCCCGAACTTGGAAGGGTTATCATGCCTGGGCGGAGCCAGGTCAGGGTGGTCAACCGACCCCCTTGAAGTTAAAGTATTTGTAGTGCTTTGAAAAACTTTCGATTTGATATATTATGAGGCACGTAACTCATTACGAGTAAAACGTTACGACTTCTAGAATAATCAACACCATCTTAACTTGAAATCAGCAAAATTAAATCTGATGTGTAGCATTGATTATATTCTTAAATTTAAAAATAAAACACCTTATTCACTCATTAGTTGTGTGAACATTATGATACATTACGTATATATCATTACATTAACTGAAAAAGTCTCATTAAACTACCATTTATCTCAGTTACACATGCAACATTTAACTCAAGTATTGTTTAATAACAATCCATTATTTTGATACTGTATATAATTAAATTCTGACCCCCTTACGTTTTTCTAGCTCCGCCCCTGTTTTCACGCACCCAATCATGGTGATTTTTTTTTTTGGGGTGAAAGGTGATTTTTATTTATTCACGGAGTATTTTAAAATTAAGCAAATGGCAAACATCTATTTTGCCATGCTCTAATATTTCATCCTGCCTTAAGGCCCTGTTTGGTTGGAGGGTTTCGGAGGGGAGGGAAGGGAAGTGAGGAATGTGTGTGTGTTTGGTTGAAGAAAATAGGAGGGAAGGGGAGGAAAGTGAAAGACTTCCAAAATCCTCCACTTCCTCTCATTCTAAACCCCCCAAATCGGGGTATTTCGGAGGAATCATGTTGATAACCACAAACTATCCATCTCCTATGTGAATGGACAAAACGTTATAATATAAAAAAGGTAAAAAGTAAAAAGTTTTGAAAAATTAGAAAAATGTAAAATTATTAAATTTAAAAAAATAAAAATAAAAATATTAGAAACTCATAAATTTAAAAATTAAAAAAATTTAAAAATTTTAAAAAAAAAGTAAAAATTCAAAAATAAAAAATAAAAAATTATAAAATTTAAAAAGTAAAAAACAAAAAAAAAAGATCTTATGACTCATGACCATAGGAGTAATATTCACCATAGTTAGAGATGTACGGAGTATCTATTTTTTAAGTAAGCTATCAAATAAAGCTAAATTGGGAAAATATTTTCATTAATCCTTTCCTCCTAATTCCTCCAACTAAACACAAATTTTTATCAAAATCCTTCCCTCCCCTTCCCTTCTCTTCCCTCTTGACTCTCCCCTTCCCTCCCCTCCTTTGAACCAAACAAGGCCTAAGCGTTTGTGAGGGAAATAGCTTGATTTCCAAGTTTAAAACATTTCATTACCAGCTATGATTTCTCAACACAAAAAAATTAATAAAAGATTTTTTCTCAACGACTATGATTTGAACACAAAAAATATTATATACTTTCTCCGTTCTTTTTTAATTGCACCGATCCAATTTTTACGTTTTCCAACACACAAGTCCGACCATTAATATATTTCCTTCCTTATTAGTAAAGAAATTAAAAAAAATTGATTTTGAACATTTAAAATGAGGGGATATAATTTAACATTTTTTTTCAATTTCATATATAATATGTTAATAAATAGAGTAGAGTCAAAGTAGAACATGTGAATAGTGTAAAAAGTTCAATATTGCATTTAAAAGAGAACAAATGTTCATAAAATATTATACTTTTAAGTAACTTATTATGTGTTCTAATGTGAATTTGCCTATATAGTAGCACACGCTACTTTTTGAACCATTAAAATGTAAATGATTATTTCAATTATAAATATTCAATGAACTACTTACTTATGCTTTTATTTTCAAATTCAAAATTGTACGTTGATCGATCGATCTGCCAATAAAATGGTTGAAGAAGTTAGTTTTCATTAATTCTACGCCTATTTAACCAAAAACTAGTCAGCTTGATATCAATTATTATTATTATTATTATTATTATTATTATTATTATTATTATTATTATTATTATTATCAATAACATATACGTAATTTTTTTTAACTCGATAGGTAAATTTTCAAGACTCATTTATGTTTATATCAATGACATAAGAAAAATTGTCCTAAATATAAAGAAATTATTTACATTTAGAAAATAAAAATTTTATATTTGATATTTCAAAATATTTTTACTCTTATATTACAATTTTTGAGATGATATAATTGAATTCCTCCGTGCAATGCACCTGTACTCCGTATACAGAGAAGGAAAAGAAAAAACGTTCCTTAAAATGGTACGTAGTAATATGGTTTTGGTCATGCGGAAGATATGGCATTTGGTGTTTCTAGAAGATCTCACGTGTGCATTTAGACCACCCTCCCGTGCGAAGAGGGCAAATAAAACAAGCACAGATTGAATGTCCATTTTGCCCCCATCGTAAAGCCCATCTCCATTCTCCAGCGCAACAGAATCCTGAACAATAATGACATTTCAGTTTTTCAAAATTTCGCGGCCTTATCGCCGAGCCCGTGTAAGCGAAAAAATCAATACCAGCCAGCGTCAGAGAGAGAAAGAGAAAAATCTGGAAATGAAGGAATCCCAGCTAAACTCAATCTGTTCCAGATTTATTTAATCACGCTTATACATACCACAAAAAACCTTCATAAATCACAGAGAGAGCCAAATCGCTGTTGATAATGGCCGCTTCGAACGGGATGGAGTTTTTCTCCGGCGATTTGGAGGCGCAGATGGATAACAACTTCCCGAGACTGTCGAATTTCGAGTACGCGTATGACGAGGAGGAACTGATGTGGGCGGCGATCGAGAGGTTGCCGTCCCAGAAACGCCGGAATTTCGCGCTACTGAATCGCGCGGCGGCGTCACAAACGGCCGCCGGAAGGGAGATCACCGAGGCCGTTGATGTGCGGAAGCTTGATCGCGCCACACGCGAGCTAGTCGTCAAGCAAGCCTTGGCGACTTCCGAACAGGATAATTACAAGCTCCTTGCCGCCATTAAGGATCGCCTCGACCGGTGGGTTATAATAATTTACTGTAATTAGTTTGCTTTTACTCTGATCTATTTTACTCTGATCTATTTTACTCTGATATACTACCTCCGTTTTTAAATAAATGCAACACTTTGACTTTTACACTATTCACATGTTATACTTTGACTACGTTTTATTTATTAATGTAATTATATTATTTTATGAGAAAAATATTGTTAAATTCGTCTCATTGTAAATTTTCATAATCTAATTTTTTTATTTTTTTTACTAATACAAAATCATTTATATTAATGGTCAAAGTTGTGTCTCGGCAAGTGTGAAATGTTGACCGTTGCATTTATTTAAGAACGGAGGAAGTATCTGTGATCAGTTTTAGATTCAGTAGTAATTTAGTAGTGTGTGTATGTATGAGTATGACTAAATGAAACTGGCTAAGCTACAGTAAAATTTTGATGTTTCCTCAATCTATATTATCTTCGATCATGGCTATCATCCGATTATGAGATTGATGATCCACTATTGAATCATGCTTGCGTTTAATGTGATGAAAGCCTTATTGATGATATGAGATTATTAAGTTCATTCAAGCAATTCAATTGATCGAGTAATTAATCATCTACATTTGTTTGTTTTGAATTGCATCCCCAAAAGAGTGGGATTGGGCGTGCCGAAAGTTGAAGTTCGTTATCAGGATGTAACAATTGGAGCAGATGTTCAAATTGGTTCAAGAGCTTTGCCAACTTTAATCAACTGTGTTCGTGACACACTCGAGGTAATCAATTAAGTGTTTACGTGGATATTGTATGGAGGTATTATTGCATTTTGTCACTTTAGCTCTCAGATGAAATAATTAATACCATAATTATACATAAATGTTTCAATTGGTAAATTATTCAAAATTTCCACCTAAAACTCCTAATTATATGGCGGCTAAAATTTCATTGGTTTTTTAGCCAAAAATTTAAATAATATTGATGGTTAAAACAATTACATATAATTATAATACACAGTACTTAGGGTTGGTTTGCAAATGCTTTAAAAAAAGAATTTCTCAGCTTTTGGCTTAAAAAATACTTATTTTTACCAAACACTACCAACTTTTATTTTTCTCGACTTTCATGTCAAAAGTGTTTTTACTTTTTCTATTACACAAAAAGCACTTATTTTACCAAACACTACCAACTTTTAGTTTTCAAAATCATTTTTTTCTCAAACACTATCAACTTTTATTTATTCACTTCTTCTCATTTCATTAAAAAAGCACTTTTAAAGCAGAAGCTGTTGCAAATGGACCCTTATTTATTTCATTTTAGCATGGCCACCACCCATTTTCTTCTCATAGTCAAATCATCTAGCCTGTCAATGACGATGATGCGTTTATTGTACTCTGTAGAGCATGTTGAGAGGAATACGAGTCTTTCGACCAAAGAGGCACAAACTAACCATCTTGAACAACATAAGTGGTGTCATCAAACCTGGAAGGTAAACTAGCAAGCTAACTTGTAGAGATGCTCTTTTTCTTAATTAATGATCATATTCGCTCTTACACAATCTAATGGTAGACTGGTAGGTAATTGCAACGTACAATTGATGCATGCATGACTAGCACATCTATATATGGACGCAGACTGTGTTCCACCCTAGTTTGGCATAATTGTTTTTCGTAAAAGCGTGTAAAAAATTGATAGTATAAGAAGTTGCACGGCATGTCTTTCTTAAGGCCCATCCAAATCTGAATTTTATGTGCCCGCTCATGAGTCTAAGTAGTTCCTTCTGAATTTTATGGGTCCGCCCATGAGTTCCTATGACCATTAGCAAATTAGAATATCTTCAATGATACAATATAATGTGCACCATTCACATATGACATGAGAGATACACAAATGAATATTACGAGTAGCATAGTGGTCATGGCGCACGGCGATCGCCATGGCTCAAAGGCATTTTCCATGGCGCATGGCGATGGCGCATATATGAATGGCGCATAAAGCGCATATGGCGCTATGGCGACGACCAGTTTTTCATGGCGATGGCGCATATGGCGTGCGCCATATCTAGCCATTGACTACTATGACGAGTAGTAAATAATATACTTCTCTCTTTATTTGAAAGATCTTATATATTTTTGATTAGTTTTCTCCACAACGTCTAGAAAATGTGTGCATTATGGATGACATTGTTGGAAAGAATTACCAAAAACATATAAAATCTTGAAAAGAAAAAGAGAGAAATATCATTGATTATCATATTGCATCATGCATATTGTTGCACAAAACATGAGATATGGAGTACGTACTAGTTAAGTTTGCTCAACTTCATTCATCAACTCGTAGTTTTACAAATTTGATTTGTCCCTCTAATATATGATACGGAGTAATGAGTATATATAAATGTCTAATTGGGTTATATACTATGTCAGGATGACACTTCTTCTTGGACCACCGGGTTCGGGTAAGACAACGCTACTTAAGGCATTAGCCGGGAAACTCGAAACAGATACAAGCTTAAAGGTAATAACTCCCTCCATTTCGTGAAATTGACTTTTCTTTGTTAACCGTGATCAACTTTGACCAATGATAACTTTTAATACAAAATTATTTAAAATATGAAAATTTTATGAACTTATTCTTTAGTAAAAAACATTTCATAAAAGTATAAAATTTATAAATTCCATATAAATATAATACATAAAATTATTGTCTAAACTTTAATACTATTGACTAACAAAAGTCAAATAGGTCAATCTTTTTGGGACGAAGGTAGTACTAATTAGTACGGAGTCATTACGACTTACTCCGTAAATCTTATTACTATCCCCATTTCATGTAAGAATGATTTAAAACTTCACATTTTACCAATTTAAATGGAGGAGGGCCTCCTCTCAAGTCTCATTCTTGCCCTCACGTAAAAACCCAAATTAACTAAAAACTACTTGTACTTTTCTAAAGCCCCATCCGGTTTCTGAACCAAACATTCTACGGAGTACTTAATTACACGGTGTACTAATTTTCCGGGAACATCACCTTTGTTTCAGAAAAGCGGGATTATTACATACAACGGCCAGCGGCTTGATAGCTTCTGTGTCCAAAGAACCTCCGCTTACATAAGTCAGACAGATAACCACATCGCCGAGCTAACTGTGCGAGAAACTCTAGATTATGCTGCCAGATTCCAGGGTGCAGACCAGAGTTTAGGAGGTTTGTAACAACCTTTTCTTACTAATGTATTGCGTATTTTTCACCGACCCACTGAACTACTCTGTATAAATTATCAATGCTCGTACCGTCAGGAGCTGAGGGCAGGAGCAAAAGTAAATTGGAGTTGGATCGGTAGAGATTTTTTAAGATTAATTTTTACATTTCAAATTTTAAACTAAAAATACAAGCATCTTTCAAATCTGGGTGACCTTGTCCAGATCAGTTCCCCTACCTCCGCCCCTGGGTACCATTGTCATAATATTTATGTGCGGAAAAAAATTGCAGATACTAGATTGAGCTTATCCACTGTCATCAACTGATTTTTCTATTATATGTTTCGCATTTTTATTTTATACTCCGTAGTACCTTTTTTAATCTCTGGAAGAAGAGACCTCTTCACCATGGGTCATATGGCAGTGGATAGTCTGGACTAAAATCATATTGGTTTTTTATAAGGGACATAAAATGCTCTGCATTCAACAGAGTTAAATTGATGTGTTATGCGGTTGTGTAATCATCTAAAACATTGATGATGAAAATAAATTCTTGTCAATATTTCTTGATCATTAGGAGCATCTTTAATACAATAGTGTGCACAATGCATATATGGCATGAAAGAGATAGGACACACAAATAAATTGATGCTACACATGCACCGTGCAAGTTGTTGCATTGGAGATGCTCTGAGTTATTGTATTTCATAGGAATTATTCTGTCATTCTTCATTGACGTTGATTTAAACATGCAGAGTATATGAAAGATCTTACGTATCTAGAGAAGGAAAGAAAGATACATCCCAATCGTCACATTGATGCATTTATGAAGGTTTCATATTTAATCAACTTAGTACTCCCTCCCTTCCATATTGCTTGTCCCACATTAATTTTAGGATTATTCCAAGTTGCGCGCCTCACTTTCCTTTTTGAAAATGGCACAAAAAAGTAAGTTGGTACAGTACACCTCCAAAGAGTGTACAATACACAAAAACAAACCCCTCAAAGCTGCTCTAATGCACCTTAAAAAAGTGTAAGGTTAGCAAACAACGAACCCCTTAAAGCCACTTTTCCAACTCCTGCAAACACTATACGAAACTATGAAACCCCTACTGGGACAATTATTTTGGAATGGAGGGAGTAATTATTCAACAATATCTTTTTTATTACACTTTTTATTTCCTTCTTATTTCAATTTATATGCAGGCATCATCAGTTAGCAGTGGAAAACACACTGTGTGTACAGATTATATTTTGAAAGTACTTGGTCTTGACATTTGTTCAGATACGCTAGTTGGTAATGAGATGCTTAGGGGTGTTTCAGGTGGACAAAGGAAGAGAGTTACAACAGGTTTTCCACTTTCTTTTGCATTCTCTCTATCTGTCTTCTCTATGTCAAAGGGCTTGCTGCTCCTTCCATGCTTGTGACTGCACAATATTAAACAATGTATACGTTATAATACATATTCTTTTTCTACGGTGCCTATGACAGACAAGTGGAAATTCAAATTCTGACTAAAAGTTTACTCTTTCATATGATAATAAAGAATGTGCAAATTGACATCTCACGACCCAATAACATATTTATATTTTATACTGCTTTCTGACACTAAACAAACTCTTTTATTTGGTAAATATTTAGGATACTTTCACCGTCTTTCTAATGGATTATATACCAGCTTATTTAAATATGAGTCCCTATGAAAATCCAGCAGAAAAATCCTGACAGCCTTGCGGGAATTCCCTAAAAATTGTTTCCATAGTTAATGAGGCACTTTATTCTTCAGTGCTCATAGGCTCATAGTGTTAAATGATCATTCCACAATTGGGACATGTCAATGCAGGAGAGATGATTGTTGGGCCAAGAAAGACTCTGTTTATGGATGAAATATCTACTGGACTTGATAGCTCCACCACATACCATATTGTGAAGTGCATAAGGAATTTTGTTCATCTAATGGAAGGAACCGTCTTAATGGCTCTTCTTCAGCCTGCCCCAGAGACATTTGATATGTTTGATGATCTGGTTTTGCTTTCTGAAGGACATGTAGTGTACCATGGTCCACGCGATAGTGTGGTTGAGTTCTTTGAGTCGTTAGGTTTTGAACTACCACCTCGTAAGGGGATTGCAGATTTTCTTCAGGAGGTTATTTGTTTTATATTTCCTTTTAAAATAATAATAATAATAGTTATTGTTGTTGTTATAGTCTTCAGAGCGTGTGTTTATTAAATGTCCTCACTGTGATGCAGAAGTAGCCGTAACTAATCTTTTTTGCAGGTGACTTCAAGGAAAGACCAGGCACAATACTGGGCTGATCATTCAAAACCATATGTTTTTATTGCAGTTTCAAAAATTGCTGAAGAATTTAGAAATTCCAGATATGGTCAGGCCTTGGAGTCTTATCTGTCAGGTCCTTATGAAGGAACTGGTGCCCATCATTCAGCTCTCTGTGCTAAAAGGTTTGCAGTTTCTAACTGGGAGCTCTTCAAAGCATGTTTTTCCAGAGAACTGCTTCTCATTAAAAGACACAGATTTCTTTACACTTTCAGAACTTGCCAGGTATACTTACCTTTTCCAGGTTAATAACATAACCTTCACGTACTAAGTGGCATTCATAATTTTTACTTATAGGCTTATAGCTTCGACATCACTATGCCTTGCAATATGAATCTCCCAGTTTCTCAATAATGTTGCAGGTTGCATTTGTGGGATTTGTGACTTGCACAATGTTCTTAAGAACCCGGTTACACCCCACTGATTTGGTCAACGCAAATCTGTACCTCTCTTGCCTATTTTTTGGTCTGGTGCATATGATGTTCAATGGATTTTCTGAGATGCCTATTACAATTTTCCGATTACCAGTGTTCTATAAGCAAAGAGATAATCTTTTTTATCCTGCCTGGGCCTGGTCTATCTCTTGTTGGGTTACACGCATACCTTACTCAGTAATTGAAGCAGTTATATGGTCTTGTGTTGTATACTATACTGTAGGATTTGCTCCTGGTGCGGGAAGGTATCAGCCATTGCATTCATTATGTTGATATAGATATATATGTACTTGTAGGCTAGTTGTTATCTTAATGTCATATTAAAATATCTCCAGGTTTTTCCGCTATATGTTAGTCCTTTTTTCCATACATCAGATGGCATTGGGCCTCTTTCGCTCGATGGCAGCTCTTTCACGAGATATGGTCATTGCTAGTACATTTGGCTCAGCTGCCTTGCTAGCTATATTCTTATTGGGTGGTTTTATAATCCCTAGAGGCAAGTAGAACTTTTTCCTTTATCATGTTTTGACGGATCACTGTTGAAATAAAACAATTCTTTCATCCCTTGACCTGTTTCCCTTTTCAGATATGATAAAGGGATGGTGGGTTTGGGCTTTTTGGGTATCACCATTATCCTACGGGCAACGAGCAATATCTGTCAATGAGTTCACGGCAACAAGATGGAATGAGGTCTACTCTCTATTTCATGAAAATACAAGCATCTGCAATTCATAAAATGGAATTATTGACACTTTTAAGACTCCTTTTAATTGTGGCACTTTTGCAGAGGACTACTTTAGGAAATATTACTCTTGGAAACAGCCTTTTGCAATCACACAGCTTACCTGCAGGTGGGTATTGGTATTGGCTGGGAGTTGGTGCTCTACTGCTCTATGCCTTGTTTTTCAACATCATAGTGACATTGGCATTGACGTTTCTTAACCGTAAGTAGTCTGGGATCTGTTGCATGACATTCAAGTCACTGTCTCTCAATCACCTCTTACATTTATTTATTATTTTTGTGTTGGCTTTTTTCTGCTGTGCAGCGATCAGAACATCTCAGGCATTCGTAGAAGAAAATTCAGCTAGAAAGGATGGTAAAAATGGAAACCATGATTTTTATGGTCAGTTGGTTATGAGTGAACAGACTCCTTTAAATGATTGTGTACTTGTCTTGAATTGTAGCGGAAAACAGGGCGAACATACAAGAGATAGACCAGGCCCAGGCAGGAAATAATAATTCAAATTCCGTAACCAGAAAAGATGCAAGTAAAAAGAAAGGGATGATTCTCCCATTTCAGCCGTTAACAATGACTTTCTACAAGGTCAATTACTTCGTCGACATGCCAAAGGTATCTTCATATAATAATTGCTCTTATGGGACTCTTATTCTTCACTAGGAGCATAAAATAATATAAAGCTTTTCCTATTTGTAGGAAATGACCTCACAAGGTGTAACAGAAAAGAGGTTGCAATTACTGTCTAATGTTAGTGGAGTTTTCTCACCTCGCATTCTTACAGCATTAGTTGGGGAAAGTGGGGCAGGGAAAACCACTTTGATGGATGTTCTAGCCGGCAGGAAGACTGGTGGATGGATAGAAGGTGACATTAGGATATCGGGTCACCCAAAAGAACAACAAACGTTTGCAAGAGTTTCAGGATATGTTGAACAAAATGACATACATTCTCCTCAAGTTACAGTTTTTGAATCCCTCTGGTTTTCTTCTTACCTAAGGCTTCCCAAAGAAGTGAATAATAAACAGAGAAAGGTTTGGCAGTGCTCTATTCTTTTTTACCTTTAATAAGGTCAATTTGGATCTGGAAGATACTAGAGAAAGATAATACGAAAGGAACATTGACGAAAACTGGAAAGAGATAAAATTTGAGAGGAAATAAACTATTGCTAAAACACAATTGATTAAATTTAGATACTATTTAAAGACTAAGAGATCTAAAAAATGTAAATTTGAGTGAAAAGTAATAATATTACATTTTGCTTTGTATTTTCTATGATAAGACCAAACAGAATAAACTTTCTGTATCATTATTTTTAGGGGGTAAAACAAAATAAAATTCTAAAATATAAGTACTGTTGTTATCTGTAAATAAGAGTAACTTACTGACATCCTGAAAATTTACTTCCATATTTTGGTTTATCAGGCTAATATGGCAATATTACTGCCCCAGTTTGCAGTGTTTCCAAACATGTCACTAATTACTCCTATTTAGAGAATAATCACAAAGTGCTCCTGTTTTGGAATTCCACATTGTTTCAACTCCTATTTAGGGCGATTTGTTTTACTTTTTTCTTCCTGTAGTATTTCATGAGATCCAAAATTCATTTGTGAATCAGATATCAAATGCTAGTTTCTTTCCCCTCAGGAGTTTGTTGAAGAAGTGATGGAGTTAGTCGAGCTAGATACACTGAGGAACGCTATTGTCGGTTTGCCAGGCACTAGTGGCTTATCCACAGAACAAAGAAAACGTTTAACAATTGCTGTGGAACTTGTAGCGAACCCATCCATAATTTTTATGGATGAGCCTACATCAGGACTTGATGCTCGTGCAGCAGCTATTGTCATGCGGGCCGTTCGTAATACTGTTGACACTGGAAGAACTGTGGTATGCACCATCCATCAGCCGAGTATTGAGATTTTTGAAGCATTTGATGAGGTCAGTTCCTTTGATGTTCAGGCAATCTTTGGAACTTGTATATCTGTAAGAAAAGGAAAAAAAAAAAGTAAAACCGTTTTTCAGTGTTACGTTACGTTTGAAAATGCAAAGAAAAATTCAATTTGATTAGGATTTTTCAAAATTCCACGTAGCTTTATATTTCATACTTTCATAGTATTTACATGATAGACACATGTAAATAAATTATTTTAAACAGATTGAAGCAAACACCCACCCCTTCATGGCTTCACCCACTTCTTTATATTCCAAACTTCCTTCCTATTTTCTTTGCATTGCATTTCATGTTATCTAAATGGGCCTTAAGTAATGGAGGAAATGTTGTCACTCTTCAGTAATTGTGTTGTGGGTAGTGTTCTTACACAATGTTTCAAAGTGTAGCTGCTTCTTATGAAACGAGGTGGACAAATGATATATGGAGGAAAGCTCGGGGAGCAGTCACAAACTATGATAAACTACTTTCAGGCATACTCTTGTTTCCATTCCGGTTTTACTTTTCTACAGTACTTGCTTGTATTAATTTAAAATTGTAAATTTTCTAATGAGAATGAATCACTTGTCCTAAAATATGTATAGAGTATGCCCGGTACTCCACCAATCCCTCCTAGTTACAACCCTGCAACTTGGATGCTTGAGATCACTACCCCTGCTGCAGAAGAGAGAATAGGTCAAGACTTTGCAGAATTATATAGAAATTCAGAACAGTACAGGTGATCTACTTTCAGTAGTAATAAAAAACACGATTTGCTGCTGCTTGTTTTCTTTTAGATTTTGATTGTGCATTCCGTTCATGTAAATTTGTTTTTTATGCCTGTGTAGGGAAGTTGAAGCTTTGATTGAGAGTTTCAGTGTTCCACCTGCAAATTCAGAACCTTTAAAATTTGACTCGATCTATTCTCAAGACACGTTCTCTCAGTTTAGAATCTGCCTCTGGAAGCAAAACATTGTATACTGGAGAAGTCCTGCCTACAATGCAGTGCGTATTTTTTTCACTCTGCTGAGTGCACTCATTATTGGCTCTGTATTCTGGGATGTTGGTTCAAAAAGGTAACTCTCCTGCCATAGAATCATACTTATTTTTCAACGTCAGCTCCACTACACACTCATTATATCTTTATCATATACCCTGTAAAGTCTGTCTTACGAACTGCGATTTCCAAAAACTATATATGTAGCTTCAGCTAGAAATTGAACTAATAAAGTAAAACTTAGCAAATGACTTAGTTATACTCCATATTTTTTATGTCTATAAATCAGTGGGTTTACCTTGTTATGATTGTAAATCGATGACAAAACTAATTATCAGCGTATCACCTTAGAACCCATTATTTTTACTCTAATATGTAATTTGAAAATTGAGGGACTTTGCAGAATATTACTCTCCTGTGAAAGTAAAAAATTCCCTCTCAATGTTGTAAAAGGAATTAGATTCCCCTACCGAATTGGTGGCTACTATGGGCCTAGCGCCTATTAGTGATTAATCAGGTTCAGGCGGGATGAGGCAGGGGCTTTGTTACAATCATAACGGTCTTACATAATCTATTCGGATGATTTCACAGGGACTCGACACAAAAGTTAATGGTGGTAATGGGAGCTCTGTATACAGCTGCTTTATTTCTAGGGGTCAACAATTCATCATCTGTACAACCAATAGTTTCTATAGAGAGAACAGTTTTCTACCGAGAAAGAGCAGCTGGGATGTATTCATCTCTCCCATATGCAGCTGCTCAGGTCAGGACATAATGACATAGTCACTTAGTAATGACTTTCAATTACTTTACTCAAAGTTCAAAAGCATCTAATGCAAGTTAAACCTTGTCTGTTTTTTTAGTTAAACATGATAAGCAACTATCTTGATGAAGTTTGATGTCATTTATTTTTCAGGGCCTGGTTGAGATTCCATATATTCTAGCGCAGACAATAATCTATGGCATCATTACATATTACATGATCAACTTTGAAAGGACAATAGGTGTGTTTTTTACGGAATTAAAAATTTGAATTTATAAAGAAGTGAAAATAAGTAATTAGGTTGACTGGTGTTTCCAATTTTGCAGAGAAGTTTTTACTCTATCTAGTGTTCATGTTTCTTACTTTCACCTACTTCACATTTTACGGCATGATGGCGGTCGGGCTCACATCAAACCAGCAAACTGCAGCCGTCATGTCCTCTGCATTCTACTCATTGTGGAATCTTCTATCTGGCTTTCTTGTTCCTAAACCTGTAACTTCTACCACTTTTATCTCAACTATCCCTCTCCTTTTAATGAAATTTAGCATTTGTACGCCATGGTTATCGCAATATTTAACTTTGCGTCCACATTTTGTTTTCTTTTACCTTGAGCTCAAAGATCTCCAAAAAGATATGCTAAGTCAAATATTAGGATAATATGGGGTGCAAAGTCTAATGATTTTTTGAGCATTTGCGTTTCATATTTTACCATGTGACTTTACACCCACTTTGATATTTTTCCGGGAGCAAAACCAAAGAAAAATACTGGAATGCAAAGTTAAATGTTGGGTTAAACGTGTGGTGCACATATTGAAATTTCCATCTATGTTTGTTACTTTCAATTCTTTGATCTTGATGAAACGTATTGTCTTAAATATGTGTTGATTGATAGAGCATTCCTGGGTGGTGGATATGGTTATACTACATCTCCCCAATCTCCTGGAGCCTGCGGGGGATCATCTCATCTCAACTTGGGGATGTAGAAACAGAGGTGGTGGGTCCAGGGTACAAAGGTACGGTGAAAGAATATTTGCGGGTCAGTCTTGGGTATGGGCCTGGGATGATTGAGTGGTCGGCCCTGATACTTGTCGGGTTCAGCATCCTCTTCTTTTCTGTCTTTGCTGCATCTGTGAAGTTCCTAAATTTCCAACGGAGATGACGATGAGGATGAGAATGACATTTTTGCACTTAGTGTAGCATGTCAGCCTAGTTGAGATGGTATTTTATTCTTTTAGTAGGAGTAACTAAATCAAATATTAGGGAGAAAACATGTTTAGTTATGTTTTAACATTGTATTCATGTTTTAGTTTTAGTTTGAGCAATTTCTTGATATTTTAATGGTGATATCTAGTACTCGGTACTCCTATGTATGATGATCTGGTTCTGATTGAGACCGTGTTTGGCAACTTGAATTCTAATGCAGTGTTGACAAAAAAGAGGAAAACACACCAAAGTGTAGTCAAAACTTCCAAACTGGGAAATGTTTACTGGTTTGAACTTTGAAGTGAGTCAGACCGCCATCATACGGTAAAATATGGGGTACTACGTGAAACTTTCACTTATTAAATATGACACTAGATATAGTAAACATTTCTCTGCAAAATTGAAACCACCTATCAATCATTTAATCTAATTAATTATGTCCACTTCCTTAAAAAAGTTGTTAACTCTAGAAATATAAACTATTGTCCCTTAAAAATTGTTCATGGAATAAGTAATGGTGTCATATACTGTCTGCACCAGAATGTATGAAATCTCAAATAAGTCCTGAAAACTAAAATGACATCATCAAACTTTTCATCTACATAATGCAATGTTTATAATATTTAATAAAAAAACTAGAAGGGATACAACTTGCATGGGATGCTTTTGAAATTTAAAAAGCACAAAGTTTATTTATATCATTATGTCCTGAGCTATTGCATATTAGAGAATGGAGAGGTGAATACACTCCAACTGCTCATTCTCTATAAAAATTTGTTCACTCTTTGGGAACTATTGGTCGTACAAATAATGAATTGTTAACACCTAGAAATAGAGTAGCTATCCGGAGCTACCATTACCAACAATTAACTTTTGTGTTGAGTTCAATAGCTTTTACGAACATAAACTCATTGATTTTTAGACATAACCCATTATTTTCTAGACATTAAAAGTAAAAAATAAAATTGAAACAAGGATTCAGAAAATCTGAGTTATTTGCTAAGTTTACTTTATTAAGATATATGCTATTTACAAATAACATATCTTAAGACAGACTGACTATACATTCAAGAATGCAGAGCCAATAATCAATGCATTCAATATAGTGAAAATTACCTTCTCGTATATGGTCTTTGCTTCCCAAAGACAGATTCCAAACTGATAAAATATATCTTGAAAATAGATGCAGTCATACTTTAAAGGCTCTTAGTTTGCAGATGAAACAGTGCAACAATCAATCAATGCTTCAACTTCATGAGCGTAATGAAAAAAAATCAAAGGAATAAATAAACAGGTGTCAGGAGTAGCAAATCATGTTTTTTTTTTGTTATAACACAGAGTAGATCATCTGGATTGTTATGAATTTCTATTTAATTCTGCAAAGTCTTGACCTATTCTCTCTTCAGGTGCAAAATTAGTGATCTCAAGCATCCAAGTTGCATTGTTGTAACCTGGATGGGTTGGGGGAGTATCGGGTATACTCTTTGTGATACTCTATAAAAAATTTAGAACAAGGGATTCATTTTCATTACATAACTTACAATTTGATATTATTGCAAGTTTTCAAAATTATCAGAAAGAGAGTTTTTAAAAAATTTAAAAATTGCATGGACTTATCAAATTTTGTAACTCATTGCTTAGGTGATTGTTTTAAACCATACAATGCTTTCTTTAAAAACACACATGATCAAACAGTTTATGATTCACAAAATTCTCATGTTGGTGCATATAAAGCAGTATACGTAGCTACATCATCTGTTTTAGTCCCAAACTAAAACGAGCAACCAAAGCGGGTATAATTCTAAGGTGATTTGATAACAGTTAAATTATAAATGAAATAGTCATCTTCTAACTATATATGATTATGAATTATTATCACCATTATCAAGATATAATTAGGAAATCATAAATTATAATTCAGGGTGATAAGTGGGTGGCTAATTATAATCATCCCTCAATCAAATTGAGCTCACAATTTCTCCTATAAATAGAAGTCTTTCTCGTTATAATTAGCACACGATCAAGAACAACTCTCTTAGGCTGTCCGCAAACCTGAGGCTGAGGGTGAAGAGCCAATTTTGATCCTTTCACCCAATATATGCTCCAACCCATGTATTTATTGATGCCAAACTGGTTGTATAGCACCGATGGAGTGGCAATTATGCACCTTATTCATGGAGAGAGAAGTTGTTGCAGCAATACCTTGGCGCATGGCATTCCAAAAGGACTAGGAAATTAAAAAACCCCAACTATGTTAAATGTATTATAAGTTTTGTAGTTTTGTACTCCAAATTTTATAAAAAGCTTATCAAATTTCATATTTTTTTATGATCTTTCGTGTGACAGTAATACCATATATATAAAGTTTTAAAAATAAAAGTATGAAATTTCATCAGTTGGAGATTTTTATGTTTATCTTTTTTAAGTAGATCCAAGTGATAAAATTAAGGTCTCGTGATAAAAATAATTTGTTTACTATCTTTCAGTTTTTTCTCTTCCAAAAATTGGTATAAATTAACAATAAAAAAGGTTAAACTCCAAATTTATTTATTTTTATATCAAATGTTTGTCTTTTAATTTCATTCGCAAAAAATGATTATTGATTAACAAAAAACATAATTTATAATAATAAGAGGAAGACTTTAATTAAAGAAAAACTTTGATGGCTGAATATATTGACGGTCTAGGATTACAGTAAAAATTGAATTGACAGACTGAATACGTATAAATCGGTGAGAAATTTAATTTATTGATGGAATCGGGTTGCTGTGAGCCTTAAGAGTATACTTAATATAATCTCTCTCTCTCTCTCTAATCTTCCACGTATTATCTTCCATTTCATATCACGTTATCATCACAAATTTGCTTCTGATCCATGAAATCATCATATTCCTGAAGGTATGTTTTTTCACTAATTTATTCAAGTTATCATAAGTATGATTTTTCTTCATACTTATCGATCATCTTCATGACTTTTCCGATCATTTTCATATTATCAATACTTCTCTATATGAATAATAATCAATCAAAATTAGACACCATTGACTTAAAGTCAAGTTTGACTAACTAAAAAGGGACGGAGGATGTATAAAAGAAATTGAATTGAATAAGATAAAAGAAGAGATGCCAATAGAAACTTGTCTTTCTTATTATACTAAAATAGTAAAATGCGTAGTAATAAGTTTAAATGGGGTAAATGAGAAGACGTATACGTATATACGAACTAGTTTTCAAACCCGTGCGATGCACATGCAGCACATAATTTAGCTAATTTTAAATATGATTTTTTAATTTGGTTGTGGAATAAATTTATATTAATAAATGAAGTTTTTCATTGACATTATAATCTAAGAACAATACTAAATTGATTATTTGACGTGATTCAGACCGTTTATTCACCATACAAAATAAACAACTTCATATACAAATATCATTTTATCCTGATATACGCAGTACATCTTAACCTACACAGACGTCTTAATCCAGACAATACTTGATAGATTAAGAGTAAGCAACCCTTCAATATAATATAGAGCCCACTTGATAACAATAATATTGGTCGAATTGACTGATTATTCTAAAATTGATTAAGTTCTGTCTGAATGATATGCCTAATTATTTTTAAATTTTCAAAGTGACAAATTGAAATGCTTTTACTCATTATTTGGTCACATTGAAAATGGTTAAAAGTGTAGTTTTTAAAATTTCAAAATTATAAGTTGTCTAAACTAATCCTTTCAAAAAAAAGTTGTCTAAACTAATACGGAGTAAAAAAGAAGTTTGAAGTTAATACACATAAATTAAAATCTAGCCTACTATGCTACGGACATCATTATCGTTTAAAGTTATTGTTTAAACTTAAATATGGAAATATAGCCTAGTGATGCTACTGTCATCCTTATGTAGGTTTTTGTTTCTAAATTCTTAAATTTAGAAATTACAATCTTGCCGACTTGTAAAGTTAATACACATAAATTAAAATCTGATTTTGAAGTTGATAAAATTACCAAATAAGATGAATATACAAAACGTAATACTCCGTAGAAAATAAAAGGTATAGAATGTAATTACACATTTGTTATATATGATGACATGGCAGGATTATGTGGCACTTTGTAGTCTATGTATGCTCTTGAACAATGTGCCAAACCAAATGTAGTGAACATTAAAATACGGAGGGAGTATATCTCTAAAATATTATAAGCATGAATAGAGGTAAGGTTATTTTGGGTATAAAAAATGTGTTGGTGGTCATCCTATGTTTTAAGGGGTTGTACATTAATCTCTGCCCATTGTATATGCTCCTATTAGCCGTCTATCTCCGTCTTCTAACGTATTGTAAGGTTAACGACGACATCCGCTACAGTAGTTACTCGCCACGCTACACAACTGTTACTCGTCATACGACAGATCTGCTTCTTCGTACCCTGCCAATCCATCGTAGTATGTGGCGGAATTCACCAAATCGGGATTCACCTTCGTCGGACTAGAGCGAATCCAAAATCAGATCAAGAGCCAAAGCAGGAAATAGTGGGATCAAGTTTCAGTGCAACAAGTAGAAAATCAGAAGATGCGGATCTTGAAGAAGAGAATGATGAAGAGGGCGAAGAAGAAGAAAATCGGGAAGATACCAAAGTGGATCCGATGAAAACAGATGCAAAGCTAATTCTGAAACAACACTTGGGACATACAAAGGCTCTCCGAATCATAACGAGGCAGCTTCAAACAACCTTCACGGGAAGGACTACTAGTACTAAATCATGGTATTTTGTGTTTGTTATGAGGAACTTCATTTTGCGCTTTGCCCACTGAGTGGTGGTGTATTACTCAAGCAAGCTATTTAGGTTTTCTTATCTATCTGCCAAAGCATCCTTCATTTTGTCTAATAATAATAATTTCTTCGTCCTTCGAAAATGACATTATGTGGTTTGAATTTGTCCATGTTTATAAGAGTAATAATTTTTTGGCCAAGGGGTATGTTTGTACAACTGCATTATATTGTGATGCTTTAAGGATGCGGTTCGGTTGGAACTCTGAGCATTCTTCTTACTTGTCTGATAAAGATTATCATCAGTGCTTTATGATGAACTATGGTATAGCATCACTCGTTTGTTAAGCGTCATGAATGGAGGCTGGAGAGGGTTCACCCTTCTGCTTCCCCCAATCTTCTGCCTTCAATGCAAGTCTTGATATCAATTCCAAGCAAATTTCCTTTACATTT